TTGCAAAGCACTTTACAGCCATTGTTGTGAGTTTTTCCTTTTATTTGCAAAGTACTTCACAATTATTATTACAAGTCTTTCCTCTGGCTGTGGGGTGATGCTGACCCACTTCCCAGAGCTGGCTTCCCCTTGCCTTCTCAGTGGCAGGGCCGATTCCCATGGTGCCCAGCACCCGGTGGGTGGGGCTTTCCTAAGTCAAGGCCATAGCTGTGCCCTTCTGCCTTAGAAATCAGGCTTAGGAACTGGCTTCAGGCTGCTGCCCGCTGCCCTCAGGAAGTCCCGCCCTACCCATTTCTAATGAGGGAATAAGAGGGGGCTATCACCAAGGTACACACCTCCAGACACTAGTGCTGGTTTGGGGCTCACAGCCTGTCACCTCCCGTTTTCCCCAGTGGTTGCTAAGCAGCAGGGCTTGCACTTCTTTCTCTCCGTTTTTCAGCCCAAGGGGTGGGGGTGCAGGAGAGACATGTGTCAAATGTAAGAGAGTAAAATAGTTCCTTCCTCCATAGTGGACTGGGAGTTGCTTGAGGCGGTCTGATCAAAATTATTTTTGTTTCATTTTTATTTTTTTTTTATCAGATTTTAAAAACAGGCAATTATGACATTACAGAATGGTGTGTTTATTGTTTTAAAGATAAGTTCAACCCTAGCTGGTTTGGCTAAGTGGATTAGAGCATTGGCCTGTGGACTGAAGGGTCCCAGGTTCGATTCCGGTCAAGGACACATGCTCAGGTTGCAGGCTCGATCCCCAGTAGGGGGCATGCAGGAGGCAATCGATCAATGATTCTCCCTCCTCTCCTTTCCTCTCTGAAATCAATATATATATGTTCATAAAATCCAAGTAGCATAACAAAAGTTCCTTCCATGGCATTTAGTGTGCTGCATTTTTTATTTAACATGTCGGATAAGCATTTTCCTCTATTGGCACATGGTCTTTATAATAATCACTTAAAATTGGGTAGGTTGGATGGCAATTTTCTGGTAGAGAATATGGACTTGTGCAGATTTGAAGAGGTTGTGGGTTGTGGGGAAAACATGTGTCTGACGGGGGTCGGGGGGTGAGGGGAGTGCCTTTAGGAAGGATGGCCTTGCCCTCCCATTCAGTTCTTTCCTTTGGCTGCTGGTGTGACCCTCCGACCTTTCGATCTGAGTCAGACTTCTGCACTTTCCACCCTAGACAAGAAGTTTCTGCCACCCAAAGCCCCAGCTTGGTTAAGGTATGTTCTGAAAATGAGTTGAGTAACGTTGTTACTCGAAATTGGTGTTCTGGCTCCATTTCCCAAGTTAGGTCATTAGCATTCTGAGAGTAAGACTCCCCTTAGCCCCTATGACATCTGTACGAGTGCTTAAATAGCAGATGCTCGGTAAATAGTTGTACGTACTTACCAGCCTCCAATGCCTTTCCCTGGCCAAATAGTTGCTTGGCTGTGTAACCCATCCTGGGAGGCAAGCTTGAAGGAGTTCCTAAGGCAGTGACGGCGAACCTTTTGAGCTCGGCGTGTCAGCATTTTGAAAAACCCTAACTTAACTCTGGTGCCATGTCACATATAGAAATTTTTTGATATTTGCAACCATAGTAAAACAAAGACTTATTTTTGATATTTATTTTATATATTTAAATGCCATTTAACAAAGAAAAATCAACCAAAAAAAATGAGTTCACGTGTCAGAGGTTCGCCATCACTGTCCTAAGGCAAACCTTTGTGTTGGCTTCTCAAAGCAGTAAAAGGCCAGGAACCAGCCGTGGGTTGTTAGGCAGCCTCTTAGATGAGTCTGCCCAACTATAAAACAGTAAGTGTGAAGGGAAAAGAAAGAGGAACAGCCCTAACCGGTTTGGCTCAGTGGATAGAGCATCAGCCTGCGGACTCAAGGGTCCCAGGTTCAATTCTGGTCAAGGGCATGTACCTTGGTTGCGGGCACATCCCCAGTGGGGGGTGTGCAGGAGACAGCTGATTGATGTTTCTAACTCTCTATCCCTCTCATTTCCTGTAATAAAACATCAATAAAATGTATTTAAAAAAAGAAAGAGGAACGGTTTATGCAATTTTTGTCTCCAGAACGTAGGAAAGAAGCCAGATTGCTTATCTTTAAAAAGAAGATGATCACCACCCTTGAGAACTCCTTACTGAAGTATTTGTGAATGAAGTGGTAGAATGTGTGGGATTTTCTCCAGTTCTGCCAGACACGGGGGAGTGGGTGGAGGTATAGGAGACAAAAGTGGGCACACGTTGTTGGGAGCTGAATAATTATTAAATAGAGTTATTTTTCCCACCTGGTGTGTGGCTCAGTGATTGAGCATCGACTTATGAGCCAAGGGGTCACCGATTCAATTCTTGGTCAGGGCATATGCTCAATACCCAGTAGTGGGAGTGCACGAGACAGCCAATTGATGTTTCTATCTCTCTATCCCTCTCTCTTCCTCTCTTTGAAATTAATAAAAACGTAATTTTTTAAAAAGTTTAGATAAGGACACATTTGTAATATCTTATTCAATAAAGAAAAAAATAAAGAAAGAATAAAGAAAGAATAAAAAAGAGTTTACTTTTAAATTCTGCTCACTTTTGAATATGTTTAAATTTTTTCATTAAAAAAAAAAAAAGAGTGAGAGGGTTGTCCTAGGTTAGGACTGGTGAGACTGGTCCTTCCTGCCCAAGCCTGATTTTATACCGGAAGCCAGTGTCCTGTTTCAATTTTGAGGCTGTAGTGCCATCTAGTGTTTATTACAAACACGCAACAAAATGATGACATTGCAAGGGCCCCTGGGTAGTCGAAGGCCCTTCTGTGAACTCTCCTGGCCTTTCCAGTTCCCTCAGGGAAGGCCTGGGCTGAGGGAGCAGGGCTACCAACCCCCGGCAAGGGCAGGTACGAGCCTGCCTGGAAGTGAAGGGGGAGGAGGCCTTGATGGTAGTGAGGGTGGTGGCAGGTTGCTCCTCACTCCACGCCTCCCCCAGGCTTGGGGAAGCAAGCTGTGGGGCGGAGTCTCCTTTTCATGTGCGGCTGTGCAGGCAGGTGACCTTGCTGCAGGGTTCCCAGTGTGACCCAGGTACAAAAATAGCCTCTCTTGTGACCAGTGTGTGCTCAGCTCCCTGGCCTGAGCAAACAGCCCCTCACACCTGCACACTGTTGACTCGGTGTAGACATACAGCTACTTGTTTGCAGGTGCGAATGACTGTTTGTGTACCCAGAGTTGAGGGGAGGGCCATCCTCTTCTTCAGCCCACTGTTTCCTTAGAGCAGGTATCGTGGGGTCACAGAAATAGCAGAATGTGCAGCCTGACACCCCAGGGCTGGGTCCTGATGGAGAGAGAGCTCTTAAAAACCCTCCCCTCCATTCCTCTCTGGTTTGGCTCAGTGGATAGAGCGTTGGCCTGTGGACTGGAGGGTCCCAGATTTGATTCCACTCAGGGGCAGGTGCTCGGGTTGCAGGCTCGATCCCCAGTGGGGGGGCGTGCAGGAGGCAGCTGATCAATGATTCTCTCTCATCATTGATGTTTCTATCTCTCTCTCCTTCTCCCTTCCTCTCTGAAATCAATAAAAATATATTAAAAGAACCCCCCCTTCAAATATCGCCCCCCCCCCTTACTAGAGAAGAATCCACTCTTGCCTCTGGTAGTAGGACAAGGACAATCTGGACACCAGAGTAGCTATATTAAGGGACAGAGAACATTCAGAAAAGATATAATAAACATCTTTCAAAATAAGAAGCCATGTTCATGGAGTTAGAGAGACTTCTGCAAATTCCAAGCCAGGCTTTATATAAATCATAGGGGATAACAAAAGTGGCCCAGCCGATTTCACCAGGGCAACTGAACTGGACATGAGTGGAATTTACCAATTGTAAAATTCTATAGGCATGGGAGATAAAGGTAATGGGGCTGGGAAGGGCAGGGGAGTGACAAATGATGGCAACTTTCCCATAGACGTGTGATCAACTCTGTCACCATTGCTATCACATGTACCTTTATTTTATGTATCAGTAAGCAAGAAAATATGTCAAATTGTGATTCAGAATATCATACAGGCATATTGAAATGAGGAAATGAATTACAGCTTTTGGGGGGGGGGAGTAGGGCAGGGCAGTTTAAAATTTCAAGAACTTTCAGAAAATGTAGTCCCTTTTGGTTCATTAATTCTACTTCTAGGGGAGTATCCTAAGAAATAACCAGAAATGCTAACATTTGTATACAAAATGAGCCATGTTTACAAAATAAAAGTGAAAAACTGGGTAATGATTAATTAAAGGTCAATGATGGTAAATAAAGGATGGCCCATTTATGTGATGGGATCTCACACTGCACTCAGAATGAGCTTGTGAAGATTTTCTAATGTGGGAAAGGCTTTGGCATTAAGTGAAAAAACAGGCTCAAAATTATATAGCTTGACCTCAACCAGGCAAAAATGTGTGTATATATATATACATAGTGTGTATATATATATATATAGTATTTATATATCAATATATATAAAGTATTCCAAAGGATATAATAGAACACAGTGCTAATGACACTGGTGATCTTCGAGTTGTAGGATTATATGTAATTTATATTTCTTTACACATTTCAGTGTTTTCTTATTTTCCTGAAGTAAATATTTATAATTTTTATTCAAAGGAATCTTAATTTTGAAAGGAAAAAAAGAGAGAGAGACAAAAGGTCAGAGTGGACCTGAGTGTTAGATAAAAACCTCAGGGTTACAGGCTCAGAAGGAGAGATGAGGGACTAAAATCAGGCTGAGGGTGATTGCTGCCAGACTTTCTTCCTGTCTCCTGACTGGGGAGAGCCCTGCTGTGTCTGGGATGTCCGAGAGTAAACATGTGCACTTCCCATGACAGTCCTTGGAGCAGATAGATCCCCAGGGGTTAAGGTCCAAGTGAGGCCCCAAAGCTATCCCTCCTGCACTCCTTGCAAGGAAAGGGCATTATTTCTTTGGTCTCTAGATTTTCTGACATGAGGTTAATATGAATAAACAAATAATTAATCCTCTGTGTTCTTTCCCACCCAGTAGATATGTTTGATGACTTCTCGGAAGGCAGAGAGTGTGTCAACTGTGGGGCCATGTCTACCCCACTCTGGAGGCGGGATGGGACAGGGCACTACCTATGCAACGCCTGCGGCCTTTACCACAAGATGAACGGCATCAACCGGCCCCTCATCAAGCCCCAGCGCCGGCTGGTAAGCAAGTACCCAGACCACAGAAGTCCAACAGCCTGGGGTGGGGGTGGGGCACATTTCGCTCTTCTCAGCCCCTGGCTCCTACCTTGGTGGGACATTTCCTGGTTTTGAATTTTGGATTTCAAGTCATCTTTAGAAGAAGGTATGGTTTGAGGGTTTGGGTCGATGCGTGCAGGCTACATAGTAATTTCTCACGCCTTTAGCGTTAAGTTAGCTTGAGCTACAAGGTTTTCCAGACTTGACCTTGAGCAAAGAGCCAGATGTTTCTCTGGCAAAATGGGTTTACTCTGCAACAACGAAGATTTGTAATTCGGGGCATGTGGTCCACTGGTGAACCATGCCAAGTCCAGATGACAAAGGAGGGGAACATTCTTTCATAGAGGAAGGAGGAGCTGTTGTAATCAAAGAGTCCATTGGAGGAAACTGGGAGTTAGAAGTATTGTGGCTTTTCATTGGCTGAGCTGTAAGGCTTGTTGGGGAGAAGACCCTCCTCCTACCTGCTGGAGTAGTAGAGTAGAAAAACTTCTTCCTGTTGGAGATGGAAAATATGTCTCTTGTTTGGAGTAATTATGAGACTCCCCTGACAGCCCCTCCCAACTTCAATTTAAATGAGGTTTCTATTTATTAATCTTCATAAGAACATCTAATTCAAGCCCTTAATTATGCAGAAGTGAAAAGTGAGGCTTAGAAAAGCTAGTGGCTTGCCTGGGGTCACATATGAGTGAGTCCAGACTTCCTGGTTCCCAGTCCAGCGTTCTCTTGTACGTCTCCTGTGCTCCCATCAACTCCATGAGGAAGGTCAGCTCTTCCTTTATTCCTTTGTTACTTACCTGGTTTTCAACTGATCAACCCAAATCCCAGGGAGGTTAAACAGTGTGTACCTGACCTGTGGCTGAGGAAGAGTTTGGAATTGAGTTTTTGGTTCTTTGTTCCGTGGGCTTTTCTTACTATAATTGGATTTTCACCAATACATACTGGCTTTCATGTATATTAGGGAGGGAAGAACAGAGGAGATCAACCCTGATGTTTTCCTTTCTTGAGGTCCCACAGCCCATCCAGTCTCTGATGACACTTGGATATAATAAATCCTCACCCACCACTTGAAAACCACATTAATTCTGCTTTTCTGCCTCCAGTGCCCAGAGCTCATTGGACTTTCCATCTAACAAGGAATGACTAATAACGTCGCTAAGCCACAGTCCCGACTAGCATTCACTCTTCTCCCAGGGCATACATTTCCCCTGGCGCTCTGGCTGGCCTGAGATGCTCACACAGGATTATGATCACCTGCTCCCGCCACCCACCTAGGGGAGGCCCAGCCCTGCAGCACTCCCTCCCTGAGGCAGAAGCAGCAGTGCCTGCCTTTTCCTTGGGCTTGAAGGGTTTGTCTCCTGTATTGCAGTCTGCTTCCCGCCGAGTGGGCCTCTCCTGTGCCAACTGCCAGACCACCACCACCACGCTGTGGCGCCGCAACGCGGAGGGCGAGCCCGTGTGCAACGCCTGCGGCCTATACATGAAGCTCCACGGCGTAAGTAGTCCCACCCCCCTTGCAGGACCACCACCTAGACCAGCATCCTTGCTCTCTCATACTCATCACTCAGTCCTCACTCGTCTTTCTCCCTTCACACTATAATTTATTTTTTCCTTCTTTTTTATAATTAAAAATTGTAAATTTTTTTATTGATTCATAAAGTATACAGTATAGGGTTATGTATGGAATAGCATATCGGGTAAATGGCCTCCACGGCTTTGCTATTTTTTCCTTCGTAACAGAGTATTTAGATATGGAAGGAACCATACAGACTACATTACTCTGTTCAGGCTGTTCCAACAGAATACCACAGACTGGGTGACTTCTAAATAGAAATTTATTTCTCTCAGTGTGGAGGCTGGGAGTTGGAGATCAAGGTACCAGCATAGTGGAGTGAGGGTCCTCTTCTAGGTCACAGACTTTTCCTCACATGCAGGGCACGAGGGAGCTCTTTGGAGTCTCTTTTATGGACTATTAATCCCATTCATGAGGGTTTCACCTGCATGACCTAATCAACTCCCAAAGGCCCCAGCTCCTGACACCATCGCCTTTCTAACATGAATTTTGGGGAGACACAGAATTTCATACCATAGCAGAAACACTGACACTCACTTCATCTTTAACATTATATAAGTCTAATTCCCATTTACAGATGAGGAGACTCAGAGTAGTCTCTATATATGGTTAGTATGAAAAAACGAAGGTAGCAATTCAATAGATAAAGGATAGGTTAAGAATAATCATATTGATAAAATCTGGAAAACACAAGCAAAGCTTGACCTCCACCTCCTACCAAAACCAAAAATAAGCTTGGGTGAATTAAAGATATGAAATGTAAAATGTCTTTAAATAGAGACAATAAAAACACGAGAAGAAAGTGTAGGAGATAATATTTGTGTAACCTTGTGGGTGAGAGGAGAACTTGTTAGACAAGTTTTCAGAACTCTTAAGCCATAAGATAAAAGTCAGGTATATTTGATTCTAGAACATTTAATATTAGTGTACAGAAAAAAGATACCTCAGGAAAGTAAAAGCCAATACACATATCAGCAAAAGGGTTCATATTTCCAGAATACAGGGAGCTTTACAAAGCTCCTCATGTTCTGATTTGCAACAATCTCCATTAAAAAGTCAGTGTAGAATATTGTACACAGTATGGCACCATTTTTATGAAGAAAGAGAAAGAACATAATTTATATGTCGCTGTTTATTTACACAGAGAATACCTGGAAGAATACATAAGAAACTGGTAGCATGTAGCATGGGTTGCTCTAGGAGAAGTAACTGGAGAGTTGGAGGGACCTGTTTTTTCACTGTGTACTCCCTTTGTAACTTTTAGTTGATGCATGTCTTAGTTGTTCAAATATAAGTTAAACTAAAACAACACAAGCAAAACAAACAAAAAAAGATATCCTACAGAATAATAAGAAAATCACAATCCATCTTTCCCCCATTTCCCCAAAGGGGCAAAAGAAATAAAAATATAATTCACAGAAGCCGCTCTGGTTAGCCACCGAACATGTGCAGAGAGGCTGGGCCTCACTAAAAATCAGGGAAACGTCAATTCACACAACCTTGAGGTTCCCTGTGTTGCCCACATGTTTGGCAAAAATTAAAATGTGTGATAATATAGCTGTGGTGTGGATTTGGGAAAACAAATACTCTCGTACTGTATATTGCTGATTTGTATGTAAGTTATTACAAATATTCTTTCAGGAAATTAAGCTGGCAGTACTTACTAAGGTTAAAAACACACATACCTTTTGATGTAGCAGCTCTACTTTTGAGAAACTAACTATAAAATAATAAAAGAATCAATACATGATGTTTGAAGTATTTATTGCTGCAGTGTTTGTATTGGCAAAAAATAGAAACAATCTTCAAGCCTCATAAAGACACGGTTGAGTAAATTATGGCACATCCTATAAGGTACACTGTTGCACAGAAATTAAAAAAGGAATGTGTCTTGATCTGGAGTAATGAAAAAAACATATTGCAAAGAAATATATATATAGTGTGACCCTATACTATGGAGGTGAGGGTACATTAGACATACACACAGATGGAAGGATGGATGAGTACATACATATATGCATGTATAGATATGCATAAGTGCATACAAGTTTGAGAAACTAGCCTATAAAACAATAAAAGAATCAATACATGATGTTTGAAGTATTTATTGCTGCAGTGTTTATATTGGAACACAGTAAGGAGCACAGTCTATTTCTCCAGTTGCTTCATGGGGACAGTGGGCTGGGAGGGGTGTTATGAACTTAATCTCATGCATGTTTTCATCTTAATGAGCAAAAAGTGGCTAAAATATCATTAAGAACATTCATAAGATACTACACTTGTGTATTCTTCAATGAATGTATATAAGGATGTTTGTTGAATCACTGTAATAGTAAAGATGGAGAAAATGCTCCAGGAGGAAAATGGTTAAAGAAACAGTTGTTCTCCAGTGGGGAGTGGGGGAGGGTTATAGAGGAATATTATGCAGTATTAAAAAATTAAAAGTAGAATTACCATATGACCCAACAGTCCCATCTCTGGGACTTTTCAATTCCAAAAAGAATTGAAAACCGGGTCTTCAACAGATATTTGTACACTCATGTTCATGGTAGCATTTTTCACAATAGCCCAAAGGTGGAAGCAACCCATATGTCCATTGATGGGCAGATGGATAAACAAAATGTGGTATATACATACAATAGAATATTATTCAGCCTTTAAAAGAAAATTCTGACACATGCTACAACATGGATGAACCTTGAAGTCATTATGCTGAGTGAAATAAGTCAGTCACAGAAGGTCAAACACTATACAATTCTACTTATATGAGGTACCAAGAGTGGTCAAATTCAGAGGCAGAAAGTAGAATGGTGGTTGCCAGCGTCCGGGGCAGAGGGGAATTGTGGAGTTATTTAATGGGGACAGAGTTTCAGTTTTGCAAGATGAAAAGAGTTCTGGAGATGATGGTGATGATGGCTGCACAACATTGTGACTGTGCTTATTAACACCACTGAATTGTATACTTAAAAATGGTTAAGATGGTGTCCAACCAGCGTGGCTCAGTGGTTGAGCATCAACCTATGAACTAGGAGTTCAAGGTTCAACATGCCCGGGTTGCGGGCTGGATCCCCAGTGTGGGGCCTGCAGGAGGCAGCCAATCAATGGTTCTCTCTCATCATTGTGAAAGAGACACATTGACTGGTTGCCTTCTGCACGTGCCCCAACCAGGGGGCCAGGGTCAAACCCACGACTGAGGCACATGCCCTTGACCAGGAATGGAACCTGTGACCCTTCAGTTTTCAGACTGATGCTCTCTCACCACTGAGAAAACTGGTCAGGGCTGTTATGTGTATTTTATCACAATTTTAAAAAGTACTGAGGGTGGGTGGGGATAAAGAAGAGGGCAAGATTCCTCTGAAGTTGGGATGGGCTTTACCAGGGCCTGAGTACACTTTCCCCCAGTGTTGGGAGTGCTATCTCATCTGACTCTCAGTTGACTAAAAGGCAAGTTCAAGTTCATGGACGCTGGTGCACTTCTCTTAACCGTTCGGTGTTGACATCTCTGAAGTGGTGATTGCTTTTCTTTCAGTGTTTGCAGGTGTGGCCTTTATTAATCCCATATGGGAGACAAACGTAGACCAGGAACTATGCTGTTGTGGGCCGGGCCTAAAAGAAACCAGATGTGGGGAAGGCACAGCATTGACAAACGTTAGAAAGATTGCAGGCTTGCTCCCCAGGCACTGGTCTGGGCTCCGTGAGTGACAGCTGACAGTCACTGCACGTTTATGAGGAGTCAGATTCGATAGAAGTATTGTCCGCGGACAGTTTATCTCAGCACCTGGCCACAGGTCCGTCTCTCCAGCATAATCTCTTGCTGCTCCCATGGAAACACCGCGGTTGGCTGGGTCAGATTCAAGGCAGTGAAGCGCTGCTGTAGGCAGTGTGTCTTTACATCCTCACTCCTGGGGACTGTCCCAGTTGATGCCCGTTTTCTTGGCATTGTCTCTGAGAAGAGCACAGCCTTTTCACTCTCACAGTGTCCTGATGTGGCTGATGAATGCAAGGCGTTGGCACACACTGTGCCTGCTGCCCCCGTCTGCTCCACAGCCTCCTACCACTCAGACGTCCCCTCTTCAGGGAAGCCTTCCTTGATGAGCTCATGTGCCATTCCCTCTCCACCCCAGCCCGGGACAGAGTTCTGCCCCATCACCGATGAGTCTGGTTATTTTCTAGTTGTCTGTCCTCCCCACTAACCCTGAACCTCTGGAGGGAAGGATCTGTGCCCTTCGGTGTCTGTTTCTTCAGGGTCTAGTATAATACCCCGGATGTCATAAAGGTGCTCAGTACATTTTTAAAAAGCACAGAATTGATGTCTTTGTTGGCAGAAGCTCCAGGGGCTGATTTCCTTAGCCTCAGCGCCACGGTTTACAGAGGAATTGCTTAGGTGTCTTCCCATAGTGTGTGTATTGAAATGTTGTAGCTGACCATGTACAAACAGAAAACCGTATCTATCGACTTGTCATCTCAGGTTCCCAGGCCTCTTGCGATGCGGAAAGAGGGGATTCAAACCAGAAAACGGAAGCCCAAGAACCTGAACAAAGCTAAGACACCAGCAGGTGAGGGCGAGAGCTGCACGTAATTACATAAGGCTGACGTCCGTGGAGTGTGTGGGAACGTGTTCTTGGTAAGGGGAGCCGGCCCAGAGAGTCAAGGTGTAACGTTGGCATCATCCATCCCGAGCTTTTCAGGACACAGTGAGGAACCCCGTAGAAGAGGAACATCACCATGGGGCATATTGGAGCTTTGGAAGCAGGCTCTGGCCAAGTTGTGGCCTGATCATTGCCAGTCGCAAAGGCCGCAGTGGGCCGGCTGGACTGGTCGAGGGCCTGAAGGAAAAGGGAACCGTCCTCGGTCCCCCCATCTTTGGGATCTAGTGATGGTCATGACAGGTGGTTTGTAAGCCAGTGTATAATGAACATCACGTAGTACTTTGTAGTTTAGAAAGTTTCTTCACAAATATTCTCTCGTTGACCTTTAAAGACACCACCCCCCTCCCAAGAGTTCCCACTTATTATTTCCATTTTACAAACAAGAAGCTGAGGCTCAGAGAGGGCAATGGCTTAACCAGAATCACACAGATGTGGATGGGTAGTTAGACCCGTGTTTTCACACGTCAGGGTCCAAATGCTGTTTAAGGTACCACCCTGCCTTCTCAATTTCTAGATGAGGGCTGAGGACTACTTCTGTTCCCTCCCAGAGCCCTTCCTCCTCAGTGCTGCTACCAAAGGAAAGATCTCACTGGGAAACGCCATAGTCACAGCAAAATAAACCAGCGGATCTGATGGGAAGTTGGCCCTGCAGAGTCAGATAAATTCCCCTTTCCACTCCTAAGAACATGACCACAGTTGTCCTTTCCCAGATTCAGCAGTGCTTACCGCTCTGGCAGCCGTGTCGCATTAGACCAGCGGTTCTCAACCTGTGGGTCGCGACCCCTTTGGGGGTCGAACCACCTTTTCACAGGGGTCTCCTAAGGCCATTGGAAAACACATATATAATTACATATTGTTTTGTGATTAATCACTATGCTTTAATTATGTTCAATTTTTAACAATGAAATTGGGGGCCACCACAACATGAGGAACTGTATTAAAGGGTCGCGGCATTAGGAAGGTTGAGAACCACTGCATTAGACCTTTCAGTGTCTCTCCCCTGTGGTCCGCACTGTTCATAAGTAGCCCCACCCCACCCCAGAGAGCAGGTTTTTGGTTCAGATGGACAATCCCCTATCTGAAATTCAAAGTCCAGGGGGCTAGATTTGGCAGCAAAACCCAATCTGAACAGACACAGGCTATGTATCATCTTTTATTTGCCACACTTGTGAATATCCCCATGTTTTGCTATAGAACTATTCATGCATTTCAATGTGGGTATTGTCCCAGACCTCACTGGAGTTGTCCTCTAATGTACAGTATATGCCCTTTTAAAAATTAAAAAGTTTTGAGTCCTGAAATACCTGCGGCCTCAAGGGGTTTGGGATAAGGGGTGATGCCCCTGTCATTTCAAAAAAAAAAGTTATCTTGAAAATCTCATTTGGGGAACCGATGCCCTCCACCCATGAATGACCCCTGCTTCTTGCCCCAGCAAATATAAAGAAGCCATTAGCATGGACCTACCCCGGCTGTCTCAAAGGACGGCCACCCCTCTGTCCTTGCCTCTGCTCTGCTCGGGTGTCCTGACTCTGCCTTGTTCCAGGTCCCTCGGGCAGCGAGAGCCTCCCTCCCACCAGCAGCGTTTCCAGCAACTCCAGCACCGCGACCACCAGCAGCAGCGAAGAGATGCGCCCCATCAAGACAGAGCCCGGGCTGGGGTCCCACTACGGCCACAGCAGCTCCATGTCCCAGGTGCGCCCCTGAGCGGGGAGCAGGGCTGCCCGTGGGGAAGTAGGTTCCAGAGTACCAGGTGGCCAGGCCGGCACTGGGGTCTGGAGCACGTGACTGAGGGACTTGTCCGCTGCCCACTGCCCTCAGGGCCCCCCTCGAGGCTGGGGGCTGCCTGCACATCCGATCAAGCCACAGTGATCTGGACATACCTGTGAGAGACAAATGTTGGGCAGCTCCTCTGTCTCCTAAGGGAGGGGTGGTTTGACCTTGGCCTTAAAGGATATGTAGATGTTAGGAGGAGGAAGGGAAGGAGGGGGCCCTCCTGGCATGGGCAGAGGCGTGGAAGTGTAGAGGGCCCGGTGGGTGGGTGGGTTGGGGGTGAGGAGGTCACAGGCAGGATGTCATTTTCATGAGGGCCAGCTGCAGAGCCATCTTTCTCGTGTGCCCAGAGGATGGACCAGCAGTCCCCTCATTCTCTTCTTTTGCAAATGATGGCATCCCTGCTCCTGAACCCCCTTCCCTCTGTGGCTCCCCTCATTTGGGATCGGGATGTTCCTGGTCGCAGTTTCCCATTAACTCTGACCTCTTCCCTGCCCATACTTGCGGGAGGCCATGTCTAACCAGCTCTTTGCTGTCGGGGTGAAGAGCAGCTGGCTCTGTAGAACCAGTGGAGCCAGGAGCCCCTTCCAGATGGGAAGACGGCTACTGCTTGAAAGTGGGGCGCTGATGGTGATGAGATTGTAGCAAAGGTCTCAGGTAACTATCAGAGCCTTCAGAGAAACCAGAGTAGTCGCAACCTACTGGTCATGGTGCTCAGTGGCAGCTAATGAATCACACAGACCCTCTGCACCCACAGCACAGGGTGGAGGAAATGAAAATGCTGGCTCCTGGGTCCTGCCCTTGTCCGTTGGCCGCTCCTCTGGTCCCTCTCCTAGGCAGGGGAGCCAGCCTGGGGACATCACCTAACGGGGCTCCCCCTCCTGAGCCCTCAGGAGTGACCCCACTGACCTCATTTTGCCCTTTTTGCTTTGCAGACGTTCTCGGTCAGCGCCATGTCTGGCCACGGGCCCTCCATCCACCCGGTCCTCTCGTCCCTGAAGCTCTCTCCACAAGGCTACGCAGCTTCTGTCAGCCAGTCACCGCAGGCCAGCTCCAAGCAGGACCCTTGGAACAGCCTGGCCTTGGCCGACAGTCACGGGGACATAATCACTGCATAATGTCACCTCCCTCCCTCCTCAGATTCCTGCACAGACTTGGGACTTAGAGAACCGCGGAGGCGAGGACGGCTCCCAGCGGCCAGCCTGCTCTGTCTGGGAATGACTCCGGAACAACTGGGAAGAAACTTGAAGTCAATGATTTGGTGAGGGGAGTGGGTGTAGGATTTCATCAGATGCCTCTTCAAGATGAGGGGCTGGGACGGGCCCAGACTCTGATCTGGACGCAGCCACCCTTCGCGAGGAGCACACTCAAGTCCCTTCCGTGGAGCTGGAGACTTCTTTCTCGTTTTCTGCCCCACTCCACCCTGACAAGAGATGAGCTGTCCTTCTCTACCCTTCCATCACTGTGGCCTAAGACGGTGGTTTTCCCCTGGTGTTCCCGGCACCAGGATCTGAGGGTGGGGAGAGGGGCAGGTGCTGCGACCCTGCTCCAGCCTGAGCCAGGGCATCCATGTGCCTTTCACTGTGACAGGCCCCTCCAGGCAGCTCCTGCCCGTGCCCAACACTCCCCTTCAGGCTCAGCGCACCCCGCTCCCCTCAGGACTGAATCCTGACTCCAGGAACGCTGGGTGTCGCCCGTGTTACTGGGCGCTCCGTGGGGAGACGGAGGAGAGGCTGCCTCACCCACCATGCAGTATGGCTTCGCAAAATCTCAACTTGGCGATGTTGCCTCCCCCATGTTCCTTTCCTGGCTCGCAGTGTCATCCCTTCGCTCCTTCTCTTCACCACAAGGCCTCTGAAAAGAAAAACCCCTGCTACTGCTCCGGGCGAGTCAGCCTGCCTCTGGCTTGGCCGTGTCTCTCCCTCAGCAAAACAAGAGCTCAGCAGTTTAGCCGAACAGCAGCACCTCCCCCCCCCGCCCGAGTCTGCCCCCCAAAATCCTTCCTCCGCCTCATCATGCACAGGGAGTTCTGAGTGAGAACAAAAAAGGTTCTGCTGCTAAAGCGAGTTTGACCGACACTGACCTAAGACTTGAGATCCCTCTGGAGAGGCTGTCCGGACGCCCTGGGGCTGGGCCGGCACTGGATGGGGAGCAGGCCACTTGCATTCGGATCTTGCTGACGCCCCTTCTGTTCTGCGGAGCTGGGCCTCTGGGCCAGGCAGCGAGTCCCCCCAAGGGGTGCAGCGTGCCCTCCTGGCATCAGAAATCCCTTGTCCAAGAGGTGAAAAGCTAGCGCTTTTGCAACAGAAATTTAAAGCAAACACAACAAAACTCATGAAAAGCAAGATGACGACTGCTAAGAGGAGACGCTGAGTTGGGCCTTGAGGGCTCTCCGGTGCTGGACTGGAATTGGCCTTTTTCTTAGCTCCACGTTGCTGTTTCTGCCTGTGATGCCGGAGCTCACAGACTCCTCCCTCCGTGTCCTCCTTATCCACAGAGCTGCCGCAGACTGTGGCCTTACTGCGTCCTACCCCGAACACCCAGGCCTCCCCCGCCCCACCCAAATCCTACAGGCTGTAGCAGAGAATATCTCTAAACCAAGATTCTGCTCTAATCATCATTTACATTGCTTTCTTTCCTGAAGGCCACCCTCATATTCTTCCCCTAACCCGTTAACATTGTCTTAAGGTGAAATGGCTGTAAAATCAGTATTTAACTAATAAATTTATCTGTACTCCTCTTT